TACAACCACGAACGTAATTATAAACCACCGGTGGAAGAGCACCAAAAAGTTCTCTCAAGCATCTCTTATCGTTTGCTTTCTGTTTGTATCCTTGATGTGTAACATCAACAGATGGACCAACAGTTCTAATTTCTACAAGCATTGATGGACGAAAGTTTCCACTCTTGATACAACACCATAGATCTTCTTCAATCCCATTCATATAATCTTCCATCCTATCAGCCTATTATTCATTGTATTCAGGGATCAACATTGAAATTTTGGTTGAAGAACCTAGAAGATGAGAAAAAGAAGTCATAGTGTTCATGTTGAAGTTCGCCATTGTTGTACGGACACAAATGATGAAAAGCTTCAGAAAGAGGAATCTAAGGAATGAATCTTTCAGAAATCAATCACTAAACACTCGATTTATTAAACGAATAGCAGAATCAAATCAAAACAATTGAATAGAAATGATTTTCTAGATCAAAAGTGCGGAATATTTTTGTAACATTCGGATTCCCAGGTATTCTATGTTATTCATTTATTTTGAGTTTTGAGGAGGGACTCGTCGAGTTGACGCCTAGACTCGTCGAGTAGGATCGCGTTTTGCTGACTGGATTAATGAAGGGGCTCGACGAGTCGATGGGTGGACTCGACGAGTCCGCGCTGTGGGCTGAAACCCTAAATCCCCGGCCCTGTGCCCTATTTAAAGGACCTTATGGCCCTCATTTGCAGCCACCTTCACCTTTGAGAGCACCAGAGCACCTGAGAGTGTTGTGAGGGAGAGAATAAGCCATTTTCATCATTATAAGTGTGATTTTGCAAGAAAGAAGGAAGGAGGGCAAACAAGGAAGATTGAGGAGCTCAGATCTACCACCATTTGATCAGAAGAGGTTGCTAGAGGTACTAATCTGTGCTCAATCTCGTGTATTTGGTGATCTACTTGAATCTAGGGTTTTTCTTATGCCTTCCTTTGCTTTGGATTCGAAGTATGTGAGGTCCCAAGGTGGAGTTCTTCTTAGATCTGGACCTTAAGAGGTCCAGAGAGTCCTATTTATCTTGCATTTTGCTATTCCATTAGAGATATGAGCCTAGGTTGCCATTTTAGAGGCTATTTCACCAAAAAAAAGCTTTATGGACGTTGCATGACTGTAAAGGTCGGACCTTTACATGATTATAGTGGTTGGGAAGGCCAGATCTATAGGTTAGAGAAGAAGATCTGACCTAGAAAAGGTCATTTGAGTGTTGCCATGGAAGGAACTCCGCCGAGTCCATAAGGGGACTCGACGAGTCGAGTCGTGGTTGCCCCGCGATTCATGACGGGTGTAACCCATCGAGTGAAGGGATGACTCGACGTGTCAGTGAAGTAGAAGGATTCAGAGGAACCGCATGGACTCGCGCCGAGTCGCCCATGTGCACTCGACGAGTCGGGTCAAAGTTTGACCGTTGACTTCAGTTGACCTTAGGGTTTTGGTCAAGCTGATTCAAGGGAGTTCAGGGAGGGGTAGGATGGCCTTCTACCCAATCTTTAGAGATGAGGCTATGAAGAGTATTGATCAGGAATGTTATTATGTTATAGGAGGAGGCTAGGTCGGGTTATCGAGCACGAGAGGTCATCCGACATCGTACGAGGTGAGTCTTCTCAATATACTGTACCTAGAGTGGTACCTATGTGTGACCGGAAGGTCTTATATGTTATGAGATGTATGTGCTGTATACTGTTATATGATATTGATGTGTTATGTATGTTGTGAATGCTAGGACCGAAGGTCATTATGATATGGACCGGAAGGTCAAGATGATATGGACTGGAAGGTCATTACGGGTAGGACCGGAAGGTCTACCAGGGTTGTGGTACGGAAGTCCTCTGAGACACAGTGACCGGAAGGTCTTATAGCCTTGAGTGACGTATGTGCGTATGTGGTATTTTGGGGAACTCACTAAGCATTTATGCTTACAGTTGTTGTGTTATGTGTTTCAAGTACTAGCGAGGATCGCGGGAAGGCGCCGGCATGATCCGTACACACTCATAGAGTTTATGTTTTGAGATTCTGGGATATGTTTTTGTTATGATAACATTGGATACATTATGTTTGACATCATCTTATGAATAAAAGTATGTTTTAAAAATGAAAAATTGTTTTGGAAATTTACGTTGTTACAATTTTTGAATCTAGAACAACGACTCAAAAACTTTTGAAACAAAGAGAAAATCAGAAATCAGTTGTTAGAATTCTGCTATGATACCAATTGTAGTTCATATGAATCAACATTCCGAGTTGACTCAACTCGTCGAGTTTGGCTATCAACTCGTCGAGTTCCCTTGTTGACTTGTCGGATCGCGAAAAGTCCCACCAACTCGTCGAGTTCACTCATGAACTCGTCGAATTGGCTAGAAAACCCACTTCTTATTGCATTAAGCGTTTTCCTTTGAATCCAAAGACTCCAAACCTCAGATCCCTTTTAAAATGATGTCTAGAAGGGTAAAGTTTCCAACTTTACCCTCAAGGACCATCCATAAAGCTTCAAACTCAAACCCTAGGTCCTTTTAAGAGGGTCTTGACCCATTAAGCCCTTAAACTCTCACTCCAATGTTCCAAAACACAGATCTGATGTCCCAAAGTAGGCAAAACACGTAAAGTTTCCAACTTTACGTCCATGCATGCTAGAAATACCCTATAAGGCTCATTTATGACTTTATAATGGACATATTGCATGAATGGGACATAGGGACCAATAAAGTTTGCAACTTTAAGCTTCAAGAGGTCATGAAGGCGTCAGATTTAGCTTGATAACCCCTGGAACCCACATATTTTGGACAACTTAACCAAAACCCCCAAAATCATGCTTAAACTTCAAATAAGGAGATCTAGATGAATACATGACAAGGTGACGACTTTATACCTCAAAAATGTTGCCTTTGAAGAAGAGTTTCTGGATCTAAAGCCCCTCCTACAAGCTAGATGCTTCCCACCTTCAAGCTCCTTTCAAGAATCACCAAAATCCATTCTTTTAAGCTCACCACACTCAAGATGCAAGATGGAAAACGAATCTAGGGTTTCTATGGACAGGGAAGCTGGTAGGTAGGCCAACCAAGAGAGTTCAAGTCCTTTATATAGGGTGCAAACACCCTAAAATTAGGGTTTCTTCTTTGGTCGTCAACTCGTCGAGTTGGGGCTCCCTAACTCGTCGAGTTGGACCATTAAACTTCGCGGCCACATAAATTCCTACACGACGAGTTGGAGCTCCCCAAATCGTCGAGTTCCAACCCAAATCCTTAAAAACATGTTGAGAAATGAATAATACCTGGACCAAGCGTTACAACAAGAGTATTGTAGAGTAAAGAACACGAAGTGCCAAAAGTTACTCTATCTCTAGTACCTATCCCTATTTACAGGAATGACATAAGAAAGCAAAAAGTATATAAGGACGTAAACATGAAAGCTTCGAAATTTAAACAACCCTTATGAAATACATACATTCGAATCTAACATAGAGACTTCGAATCTTAACAAGCTACAAATGACTTCGACACCTCACAACTAAATTCGAACTCAACATGCGTGAATGATTTTATCGAGCAACAGTGAAGCGTGAACAGAGGGCCAATTACATGCGAAGTGGGTCGAATGGCCGATTGGATGCGAAATCGAATACACGGTTTTCATAAATTCCGGATTGATGCTCTTCACGGAGTTTGAATGAGGGTTAGTTTCAATTCTCCGCCTTTTTTTTGTTGTTTTCGATCCTTCCCTTTTTTATTTTCTCTCTTAAAAATAGAGAATTATTTTGATGGAAAATGAATTGATTTATTTCTCAATTCTTTATTTTTTTGTTAATCAAACATGAGAAAATGAATCAATTCTTTTTCCCTAGTTTTATTTCCTTATACCAAACACCCCCTAAGAGTTGACCCAGGAATATCACTATGATTTTCAAGTCTAACTTATATATTTTGACATATATATATATATATATAATATATATATCTATATATATATATATAATATATATATATATATATATATATATATATATATATATATAGATATATCAAATTACGAGATTTTAAGAAAATAGAAAGTAGAAGAAGCTTGGACTGTCATAATACATTTTGATATGTAAAACCTTTTAATTTACTTATGCTTATGATGAATTGTTGCAACCTCACATTTTAATAAACAACTTAAATACTTAAATTATTTTGATAAACAACTTAAATACTTAAACTTTGGGACCTTTTTCCATCAAAACTTGGTTTTGTTAAGCTATTTTAAGAAAACCCATAAAATGGATGTTTTAGCGGATGTGCTACCTTTAACCTAGTCTTTTCACTCCATAACGCTTTGTAGTCTTTGGCATGGCTTCCTCACAACACTTACAATGTTTCATATTAGTATTAAGATCATCAAACTGTTTACTATTCATCATGATTGCACGCCCCATTAAGCTACACTATTGTCATACAATTATGCACATGTATATAATACAACATAAACATCCCAATAATCACCCTTCATTGGATAGAGAGTGGGAAGACACCGACAACATAATATATCACCTTGAAGCGATTGGGAGGAGAGGGGGTTGGTGACTTTCATCGAAGTAGATGAATGGTGGTTGTCATTCGAATATGAATGTCCAATTAGGTGGAGGTGGGGTTAATATTAATAACAAATTATACAATCAAAATGTGGTTAATATTAATAATAAATTATACAATCAAAATGTGGTAAACGATATAAGTTTTATTATATTTTGAAAAGTAAACATTAAAGGTAACTTAGTCATTTTATATTTTACAACGATTTTTTAGTGAAAATCGACCTACTTAATCGACCTACTTCGTATGAGAACATCCTTTGGATAGTTCAATCGAAAAAATTCATATAATATGAGAAAATTGTATAGACAAAATGAGTTATTTATATACTATTTCATATGAAAATCTTAAAAACTAAGTGTACAAAATAGGCCATATTTGTTTTTAGTTGTTATTTTTGGGTTTACTTTCAAAATGGGAGGATCCAGACTAACCCAGCAAGAACAAAGGAGCGAACAAAAGCAAGAGTGACTGCGGCCCTCTCTCTCTTTCTCTCTCTCAAATCTCCACTTTTCTTTTAACCTTCGCGCTTTCTCTCTCCAAACCCATAAACCCTAACTTATATTTCACACGCACCCACATTATATATACATACATATATATACAGACAGAGGAAGAGACGATTCCAACATATATGCACACGTAATCTAGCGACTGAAACAGAGTAAGCTCCAATACAACATGGCTGCTCTGCCAGGTGAAAATCTGAAGCACCATCAGAATTTCACTGTTGCTTCTATTACTTTGCTCTCATCAAACCCACCAAACTCCGTGTCTGGTCCTCTTTCGGCGACATTTGGTTCCGCTTCAGGGTTCCCGGAGCTACGGTTCTTCTTAGAGCCCGACGGACAACACTCTATTCACTTCGACCTTCGAACCACTCAGGTATCTCTCTTCCATCGCCTCTTTGATTCGTTATTAGTTTGATAGTTAACGGAAGTTTGCAATTTATTGGAATCTAACCCTTTTGTTTTCGGTTACATAGTTGTATTTCTTGATGCTCAAAGTTTAGCAACTAGACTCTGATCATATGTGTTGTTTTGATTAACTTATTCTCAATAAGAGCATGCTTTTGGTTTGATTTTAGTCTCTGTTTCATAGCCTGCTTGATTTGTACTTGGATGTGTTTTAACCTTACAACATTACCATTTATGACATCGTAGGGTAAAACTTGTGGTCTTTTACCCCCTTGAGGGATTGCTTTCTCACTATTTTTCTTTCCAAGTGCCCCCTTTGTCAGAATCCACCTTCCAAAGTATATGACTATATGCATTTTGAGTTGTAAATTTGAGCACTTTTTCCCTTCCCTCTTTTGATTTCTCGTTTCCATTTTATGGGCCCCATTTATATGATATGAGGATATGTGGTATAGTTGACTACATTGGGTCATTTAACACTATAAAGACTACAAAGTGGACTCTAGTTTTGGAGTGGAGGGAGCACTTTTAATTCACTATAAGCTTGTAAATTGTGATGATATATCATTCTTTTTAGCATTCTAATTTGAGTAACTAAAGTTTTGTATTTAGTTTGTGTTCATCTGCTCACTGTTTATACTTTTGGGGGTTTAAGCTTTTCAGGTTGGGTGAAGTTCAATCTCTTTGTGTATCAGAAGGTTCTGAAACCACCAAAGAGGTAAGATCCAAATGGAAAAATAGCAACACACTTTCATTTTTTTTGTTTATTACAACATCTTTCCTTCATTTCTTCCTATTACAACACTATTCTTTGAAGGATCTACCCAATCATGGCAATTCCATTTAATTACAAAGCACTTTTTATTGCTATAAATGTGTATATTTGTTAAAGTACAATGTCCTACACTCCTACAATGCTATAGTAGGGTAGATTTTCAAGATCCAGACTCTTAATAAGAAAAAAAAAAGGTGTATTGCATTGATATAAAGAAATGAACATACGATGCTATAATACACAAAATTATTGAATGTACATTGCTTTTTTGCATTTAGCCCTAAGAAAGTATGTTGTTTATACATTTAACAGTATTATAAGTGCAATTTGCATGTATTAATACTTTAATGTTAAATTCAGAAAATTTATTCGAAGGGAGTAACTATTATATTTAAAGATGAGGAGGAAAAATAGCTCCTTCCATGGTGCATTTGAGCAATGGAAAACGGAAGTGGTTATTCAAGGTATGTAATTTATATTTATAATAGCTTTTTCATGATAATACCTTCCACTTTCCAATTTATATTAATTTAAAATGTAATGATTAGCATTTTGGAGCATTTGATATCCCATGAGGTTTAGTTTTTGATGTGAATAACATCTTTCCTTTATTTAAGATCACCGTGTTTGTGTTACTCTTTTCACATAGATTATTGTAAAGGAATAAATACTACTAAATGGAGCTAATTATTTATTGTTTTTTTTTACAGGATCAGATCTACCAAATGGAACACTTTCTTCTTCTAAAAGCAAGTTTGATGATAAAATAGAAGCTTCTTCTGCAAAAATGTATTTCCATTACTATGGACAATTGCTTCATCAGCAAAATATGTTGCAGGATTATGTGAGAACAGGTCAAGATAATCTCCTTCTTGTTCTTTTTCATTGACTTTCTTGACCAGTGTTTCTATTGTTTTTTTTCTTTTGACTTAATGTTATAAACTATATATTTGTGTTTCCTTTTGACTTAATGTTATAAACTATATTAAACAATTACAAAAATACATTATTTTGGAGCTAAAATACATGATAATGTTTCTATTTTCAGGATCCTATTATGCTGCAGTAATCGAAAACCAAGCGGATTTTGTTGGGCGTGTAGTGGTTGATGTAGGTGCAGGAAGTGGCATACTATCCTTATTTGCTGCTCAGGTGCTACAAAAAGACACTTATACCCTCCAACATTCTTTCATTTACAATTTAAAATGTCATGTATAATGAGTTAATGACTAAAATCACATTGCTGTTGTTGTTTATTAGGCTGGTGCTAAACATGTTTATGCTGTGGAAGCATCTGAAATGGCTGACTATGCTCAGAAGCTCATTGCTGGGAATCCTATTTTGGGACAAAGAATTACGGTTATACCCCTACCCTTTTTAGTACAATTTTTAAGCTACATATAAAGTTGGTTTCCTTAATAGAAGGGTGTTATGTGGTTTTCTAAAATGAAGGTTATCAAGGGCAAAGTGGAAGATGTTGAATTGCCTGAAAAAGCAGATATATTGATCTCAGAGCCAATGGGTAAGATAAGAATTACGGTTTTACCCCTACCCCTACCCATCACAACCATTTCACTTATGATATTCTACTTTTTACAGGCACATTGTTAGTGAATGAAAGAATGTTGGAGTCATATGTGATTGCAAGAGATCGATTTCTTGTTCCTAATGGGAAAATGTTCCCTACTGTTGGAAGGTGATTAATTAAACTTGCATCTTGAGAGTACAAATATAAATTATAATCGAATCAATTTTCATTTTATGTTGATTACATTTACAAGTTGTCTTTTGATGTTTGTGTTGATCAATGAAAGGGATATTATGATATATAATAACGTTTTTTTTTTTTGTTGTTTATCTTAATTTTTGAGACTCTATTTCAATACATTTTAGCATCTTCCTTGAACATGTACTTTGAAAAAACTAGCCAATTATAGCAATATGTCAAAAAACAAAGCACTTTTCATTGCTATTTTTGATATAATAAAGAAAAATTAATATTTTATTTTGCAGAATTCATATGGCACCATTCAGTGATGAGTATCTGTATGTTGAGATTGCAAACAAGGTATGGACTTTTTGTTCCCAATATCATTTCTTCATTCTATTTGTTTTTTTTTTTTGGTTGATATTAGGCGTATCATATCATGTCATGATTATTATTTGTAAAAAGTAGTTTTTATGTTTCTTATTTCTATAAAATATACACTTGTTATCCAGGCCCTCTTTTGGCAACAACAAAACTATTATGGGGTTGATTTAACAGCTTTACATGGAACTGCATTCCAAGGATATTTTTCACAGGTTTCTCTTTCTTCCATTTCACACATTAAAATACATCCGATTTTGTTATGAATGTTTTTAACATTCAATTAATAATTTAATTTTTAATAATGTAATTCTTAATATGACAACATTGTGTTTGATGATGTTTTCAGCCAGTGGTTGATGCTTTTGATCCGAGGTTATTAGTGGCTCCTGCTGTTTCCCATGTCATCAATTTTACTACTGTCAAGGTATTCCCATTTTTTTTAATTACATTGCCATTATAGGTAAAAAAAATTATAATATTATTAAATGAATGTGAATTCTGGATATATATATTTTTTTCTTATTTCATATACAGGAAGAGGATTTGTATGAAATTGACATTCCACTAAAATTCACTGCTTCTGTGGGCACAAGGATACATGGTTTAGGCATGTTGGTTTGATGTTCTCTTCAATGGAAGGTAATAAGTTATATATTTTTTCTAGTTATTTAGAAAAAATAAAAAAATAAAATAAATTTGTATGTTGACTTACATTACAGCACAGTGCAAAGGTGGTTGACCACAGCCCCTGGTGCACCCACAACTCACTGGTATCAACTTCGTTGTGTTCTGTCACAACCAATTTATGTGATGCCTGGTCAAGAAATAAGTGGTCATCTTCACATGATTGCACACAGTGCTCAGAGTTACACTATTAACCTCACCCTATCAGGTTCCTTTTCCTTTTCCTTCCTTGTAAAAATAACACATGATTCATTATTCATACCACATTTTTTTTTTATTTTTTAAATCTTCCAATTACCAATATTCTATGATGAGTAGAGGGTATTTACGTTTTTTATATAAACGAGAGGTTCCACCTTTTACAAGAAAATTTGCAACTTTTTTGTCCCATCCAAAAAGGTGGAACAAGGCGGGACATGGACTCCCTCTCGATCTCTCGTATGTACAAAAGATGTAAATGCCCTTGGCATCCTCATCATTGAAAATAGTCCTACAAAGCTTGTCTAGTAAGTCCAATCACATGCAACAAACGCAGCCAGACACAAGGACTAGACAAGCTTTCCAAGGCTATTTTCGATGAGGAGGATGAGAAGGGTATTTATGTCTTTTGCACATACGGGAGATTGAGAGCGAGTCCATGTCTCACCTTGTTCCACCTTTTTGGGCGGGACAAAAAATTTGCAAATTTTCTTACAAAAGGTGGGAACCTCTCGTTTGTACAAAAGACGTAAATGCCCTCTACTCATCATAGAATATTGGTAATTGGAAGATTTAAAAAACGATGAGGATGAGAAGGGCATTTATGTCTTTTGTACATATGAGAGATCGAGAGGGAGTCCATCTCCCACCTTTTTGGGTGGGACAAAAAACGTTGCAAGTTTTCTTGTAAAAGGTGGAACCTCTGGTTTGTACAAAAGACGTAAATACCCTCTATCATAGAATATTGGTAATTGGGAGATTTGAAAAAAGATGATTTATGTGTTGAATTGTTGTATAGCTAAAATGTGGGGCCCGGGTGCTGAACAAGGAGGAATACTACAAACATCAAGCTGCAGACTGGATCTAAAAGAGCCATATTATCGAATGTCTCAACCACAAGCCTATTCATCCGCCCAAGATCAGCAGCCAAATCAGCTCTTACAATCACAGGTACAAACTGCAAAAACTCACAAACCACAGGGACCATTTTTGCAATTTAGTCAACCTTATGTCCTTGTGTTGTTTTTTCAGGATTTACACCTTCCATCCCTGGATGAAGATGGGTCGGATTTCATCCAACAACCATCCAATGATTCAAGTGTCCAGATTCATTGAGGATTCATGAAGAAATGCATTTGAAGAGTTGAGACCTATTTATACAAATGGTCAAAGTCAAAGCTCTCAGAAATGTGATCCATCCATGATGTGTAACATTATACAAGGCACCGCGAAAATGAAAAATGTCACACCGCTTCTTTCCAAGACTGCCCTTTTACTACTACTACTACTATTATTGTATTTGTTTCAATGCCTGTAAATTAGGTTGACTTGGTTGACCTTTTTATTGCTTTTTACTCTTTAGAGTGTACTTCCCAACTACTACACTATGTTGACTAATAATTAATTTCTAGCTTTAAAGAAGTTGAATGGTGTTCCCATGAAAAGCCATTTCACCACTTGTTACTTTCACGTTGATTGGATTGGATAGGTTGTTTTTGATGCGGAGGGTGATAAAGGGCATTCATGTCTTTTAAATTGTTCAACTTTGTTGACATTTTTGAATTGTGAATAAACACCATGTACTACACCATATAATGACATTCCAATGCAAGTAGCCTTAAAACATTTTTGAAATAAGGATTTTTGGCCAAATTTAAATACCCATCACATATCACACACTAATGCTATATTGGGTCATAAATTGATAAAGGTTGATATGTTTTAAAGAGCATAATGCCTACAATGTATCACAAATTATTAAAGAGCTTTCCAGCTATGAGAGTTCTTTAAAGTTGTTATTAACATATAACTACACCTAAATTACTACAACTTGGAATTGTATGATTAAAGTGGCTGCATTTTTCTTCATTCCTCAAGTAATAATGCTCAAAAAGAAATTGCAAAAAGTTATTGCTGTGTTGGATACCTAGAAAGTGGACAGTGGGAGAGAAAGGTTTAGGCTTGAGGGAGTGGTTGTGGCTTAGGCCACGGTTTGCCAGCTAAGCCATGGCACACACCACCCTTGGTGCGTGGCTTCGACCGAGTTCAGCATCCATATTATGAGACACTACAAGACTTTATTTTCCCACTATCTTACATGATTACAAATGACAATCAACTTACATTAGTAGAAACGACAAAATTATATTATTATATTGTTAATGCTTTATTTGATCATTGCTTATGTAACTGCCTCGTAGAGTGAATCTTTGTTGATTACTTCTTTGAATGCTTTTCTTTTTACTAATACTTCACCTTTTTATTTTTGCTTGTTTGTTGTTATTCGTCCATTACTTCCATGAATTGTGTTTCTTTTGTATTTTCATTACAATGACTACAATTATGTGTTGGTGCATGCATGATATGTTTGCAAAGTTGCTTCTTTAATTCCGTAGGTAATTCAACTATATGATATGAAATTTTTTCGAAGGGTTGTTCAAAAATTTCTAATGATTTTAATGTATTTGGAGTTATTTCACTATCGGTTAGTGAATAAATAAGAAATGTTTTACTGGCATCCCCCCCCCCCCCCCCCCCCCATTTTCTCTTTTTTTTACTTCAACTTTCTCTCTCTTTTATTATTTTCTAAGTTTTATTTTTTTAAACATTATAAATAATATCCTTCATCATCTAATTTTGCTATAGCATTTTAAACATTAAATTTCATGTTATGCATTTTTTAGGTTTTTACATTTTAAATTTCACATTTCATTTATATATTTATTTGTATAAATTATACTACTTAATGTAATGTAAGTATATCTTTTGATCCAAGTGCAATCAAACAATATTTTTTTTTATGTATTTTGAATTTCAGTCGATGAAATTTTTAGTTTTTATTTATATTAAAATGTTAATTAAAAAAATAAATATGACATGGTATGACAAACCATTCATTGTGTGTGTGGCAACATTTTAGAAAATTGTGGTAAAAATGAGGTGGCGCTTATATGACATACAAAAAGAAGAAGTGACAACCATGACACCACTCCCCCAATCTTACATATCATCATTATTAAGATGAAAGACTTTATAGATCATCACTATTAAGACATTACATTATATTTGGTGCAGTTTTGGTGGGGAGTGGAATGGTGGAGTAGATTTATGTTCTAAAAAGCAAGTCCACATTTAAATGTGAATTTTAAGTATGTGGGCCTCTATGATCCATAATGGAGGGAGTGTGGAGGTTGACATTATAGATTGCATAAAGTCCGGTTGGTAAAGTGGAGGTGACTACATGAGTCTTGCGTGACAAGTAGGTCCTTATGAAACTTATGGGAAAATTTCAAGTTGTGGTAGTTAAGCTAAGCTCAAATGCATGAATATGTATTTTGACCAAGTAAGAAATGTGAAAAGAAGATAGAGGTAGCATAAATGAGGATGTTGCGGTGGACATACGGTAAAACTTTGTTGGATTGAACACAACAATCAAAAATATGTTGGTAGTGGCTTTGACATCGAAATTTTGAGGGAATGAAGATTACAATGGTATGGACATGTCCTAATTAGGTTTCCGACAACAATGGTTAGGAGGTAGAGTTGGTCAATGGTCATAATGCATGGGACGATGAAGAGAGAATGTCCGGACGTGGAAGGATGTTCATTTCGTATATTAAATTAACATTAAAGCTTGTTGTTAAGGGCATCCACAATGCAATCTATAAAGTTTAATAGATTACCACATAACATCCTGTTTTTTTCATAGAACTTTATCATTTAAATCTTACAATATGTTGAATTTTATGTTTAATAGATTTTTTTCTTCATAAAACAATTCAATGGCTTATGTCTATTGAACTTAAAATCCATTGAATGTCAACTTAACATCTCACAATAGTTTAATACATTCAATGCCAATTGGACATTCCACCTCATTCAAAGGTTCCATTAAATCGTGCATTATAGATGCTCCAAAACACAATAAATGAAAATAAAATTATCAACAAAATCCATTAGGTTTGCTCATACGATGATCCCCGCTGATGAGCTTTAGATTGATCCAAGAGAGAGTGAAAACAAACAAACAAAACTATAAAAATATTGAAGAAAAAGGGAATCTTTACTAAAGTATCGAACTAAACCTTTGGTAAGTACTTGGCCTTCGGGGAATCATTTCCATTTCTCACTTGCAAGAACAAGAAAGTCGTGATCTTAGACATTTTAATATCGAGAAAGTTATAAATGTTGGTTTTTATACAAACCGATTAATGTAAGGATTACTATGCGTGCCATAAGAAAATCCTCCATAGTTATGCAGTGATACAAGTAACCTAGGCCTAGTCTGTTATATTTGACTAAATTACAAGATAAAACTAAGTAATGTATTAAAATCCCGAATAGTTTCTGCAACTTAACCTCCTGAATCGATCATATACACGAAATTAATGTGTGCATAATAATGGTTATGTACATGTATGAAGCTAGCATGTGGGAAGTCATTGGTCCTATCGATTTTTGAGGCGAGAGGGTCAATCTTCTCTTGGGAAAATTGTGCAAGCACTTTCTTAAAGAGTTTAAAAGTGAATGTAACATGAACATGTAAAATTTATTGGATCCTTACGATATACATGAGAGAAAAATGGAATGAGCATTCCTTACATAGCTATTCTTTCTTCTTAGCTTGCTTATATTCCATTGGGGATTTTTTTTTTGTGGTGTGTGTGTGGGGAGGGGGAACACTCAAAACATCTTGTTTATTCCATACGGGTAAAGGCCCTATTTATAGGCTCTAAGAGAGCCGGTTACATAGACTATTGAGGGTTACACACTTTATATTACATCTTACAAACTTTACATCATATTCTAGATACCTAATGACACATGATATGTAATCTACTGATACATGACATGTGTTCTACCGATAACGTAATCATCCACTTTTATCGTTATAATCGTCAATTATATTATGTCGTTAATTTTTTTTTTTGTGGGGAGGGGGGGGGGGGGGGATGAAATGATTTATAATTAAAAACTACTTATGTTCATATGATCTCAAATAATACTAACATTTTTAAAGTTTTTAAAACTTTAACTAAATTATTATTATTTTATTATCCAAAAAAGAACTAAAATATTTTTTATGAAATATTTTATTTTAAGATTTCACAGTATGTATTTTTTTAAATTTTTTTAACGGTTTGTTTGGATGATATATAACCTTTTTTTTATATCAATTTACTTTTATTAAGGGGCCGTTTTGGTTGTAGATACATTTTGAAAAGAATTGGAATCTCTTAAATGATAAGATTAAGAGTCAATAAACACACACAAACACAACAAACAGCAAAGAAAATAAATAACACAGATTTAACATGGTTGACTCGATCAGATTAATCAAAGTTACATCCACAAACAAACTACAAATAGATTTTAATAATAGTTTCCCTACATAAACTTCAAAAATAATTGAAGGAAATCAATTAAATCACCAAGATGAACAAGAGTTGTATTAATTGTCAAAATAAATAATTCAGTATAATATGAATTAAAATTTTATGCAATTATTCCTCAAATAATTAACTATGTATTCTAATCAAAGTATGTTGCTATTTCATGCATTTAACTTAACTGACAGCTGCAAGAGCAGGAAGTGGTTGATCAGCAACAACATCATGACAACGTTTGCAAAGTGTGGGATGATCAAGAAAAGAACCAACTTGTGGAGTAAAGTTCCAACATCTTTCACATTTTGACCCTTCTGCCCTTGATACACCAATCCATATTTTTTTATCTCCTTCAATTAAATATTCCCCTGAATATGGTATATTCTCACTCGGTGTAGACAGAATCTCCACCTACAAATTGATTTAAATTTTAAACGAGTGTGTAATTGATAGGAAATGAGTATTGTTGGACCCAAATATCATTTAAGCAAGAATTTTATAGGTTTTGTCTAGAAGGCCCAGTAAAGGGCAAAACAGGAAATTCACCTAGGTGGGCTAGGATTATAATAAATAGAGAGAAAGGTCACAGTAGAGGGATGTCTAGAAATTTGATAGTGTAATACGTTTTGTATTGGCTCTTAAGCTTTCTGCTTAGAGAGAGGGAGATTCCCTGGGCAATCTTTTAGATTGTGTTATCATTTAATCAATTAGTCTATTTCATCATCTTCTTTCTTTCATTCTGTTTGATCATATTTCATCAAACCCTAATTTCTGTTCTTCATTAGTAATGTTTTAAAATAGTAATTAAAAAAAATACAAATACCTGAGATGTTATAAATATGCGATGAAGTGAATCTGCATCAATTTTAGGTTCACACATGTTCCTTAATTTCTCAGAAAGAACATCATCGGATGAGTTGAGGTAAACTTTTGCCTCGAGACTCGAACCAATGAGTTTACCAGTGCGAGCTGTCTCAAGTGCTTTATTAACCTCGGTTCTC